ACTCAGGGAGACCCACAAGGCGAGGGACCTCATCCTGGCGGTCTCGAAGGCCAAGGCCGCCGCCAGCCCGTTCTGGTCACACGTCCCGAGTGGCTTCGTGCCGGCCAGCGGCTCACAGGAGCGGCCTGGCCCGGCGGGACACACGGACACTGAGGCACAGTTAGGGTTCCGGACCATTCCGGAACAATAGTTCATATATTTATTCTTAAGCAAGTTATCGATAAAAAATTTAATACTAAAATGCATTTACATAGAGTCTGCTGCTCATAAAACCTCTGTTTTTGTTTGTTTTTAGTGTTTACATTGAAAAACCCACCCCTTAGTTTACACATTTACAACAGCCGGGCTTCTGCCGGGCGGGCGTCACACGCACGCAGACGGGGGCGGGGTGGGAGTGGGGTGCGAGGAGCGGGCGGCCGCAGGGGCGGTCAGCAAGGACAGGGTGCCTGGCCCCACACTGCGGGCTCGGGTTCTGGGCTGCCCTCTACCCACCCAGGCGGCCACCGGGAATGAAATATTGCACTCGTGGGAGGCGAGGGGGAGCGGGGACCCCCTCCTGGTCCCTGCGCTTCCCATGGAGCCGCCAGGAGGGGGAGGAGGGTTTCCTGGTCAGAGACAGAGGGGCCGGGGCTGGGGTGCGGGCACCCGCCAATACCCGTTTCCCGGGAAACTAGGCTGTGTCTGTGGGTCACACGAGAGCGCCTCCTGAAGAGCCAGGGCGAACTTGGGGGACTTCCCTGGAGCTCTTGGTGGGGACACATGGCCCTCAGAGCACCTCAGGGGTAAGGCCCTGGGCCAGGTCTGCCCGGCCCTGTCGGCCTCAGGAGCAGGGACAAAGTGTCCAGTCCATGGGGCGCTGGTCTGTTGCTGAGGCCTGGGGTGCCCCCCGCCCCCCCCCAGCATCAGCCCTGCCCAGCGGCTCCAGGAAAGGCCCGGAACCCCCTCAAGGGCTGCAGGCTGGTCTCCCTCCTCTGGGCAGAGGCCGGGCCAGCGGGAATCAGAAATGACTTGGAATATTCAGGAACTGAAATCAAAACATCACTGCCTCATACCAACACTTTAAAACATTTGTTCATTTTTGTTTCGTTGAAACAGAGGTAAGATACACGTGTCTGCGGCCACACGGGGGGGGGGGGTCGG